CTATCTGATCCTAGCACCCGTCGCCTGACTTCATCGTTATTCACGCGATGCTCCCACCATACGCGGGGGATGTTGCGCAGACAACAGTTGTCGAAGACGGATAGTCGTTGGACGTGGTCTGCTCTGAGAGGCCAGGTTTTGCAGCCATAGAGCAACACGATGCGTACCGTTGCGCAATACTCACGTCCTTTCAATGAAAGGGATATGTCGCGCGAACTCCGCGGATTAGCAAACGCTAATCTAGGTTTGATCACGCGTTGAGAGATCTCCTCGTCCACACTTCTGCCTGTCGTTATGCAACCCCCGATGTAGAAAAAGCTTTTGTCTACTTCTAGGGTGTCATTTTCGAACGAAAGTGCAGGAACGGGTTCCTGCTAATCTTGCAACAACACTTTGCACTTTGAAGGTGCAAACGATATACCAAAGAGATTAACCTCAAGTGCCATACGATTCAACGAGTCTTGAATCTTTGGTGCGTTATCACCCGGTAAGGTAATATCATCGGCATACTCTAAGTCTCTGATTGTCTCCAGGAAGAAGCTCAACGCCAGCGTTCGTTACGTTNTAGAGCGTTTTGTCAAGCGTCATCTATGGCAAAGTTGAACAGGAACGGAGAGATAGGGCAACTCTGTAGCACCCTACTGGTGACAGGAAATGGGAGTGAAAGTTCACCATTGGCCCTACGCCTTCCCCGAGGTTTGGTGATAGAGTTGGGACAACAAGGTTGAAATTAACGCAGAAATAAGCATAAAAACGGAAAATATTTGACCTCGAAGGGCGTCAAGTTACCGGGATGGGACCTCGATGGTTTTGTTTGATTCAACTGAAAACAAACAAGTTTTTTGTGCTCCGGTTCGCAATCAACTGGACCCAGTTTGTGATGTCCTCAGTTTTATGTATCTGGCTGCAACCTCGTCTGGACAGAAGAGAGTGCATGTTGTTAGGAAAACCAAATTATTCTCTAAACTTTGCTACTTCTGCATAGTTTCATCTATTGCAAATCCGACTGTGCAGTTTTAGCAGCGTCAAAGATGATATCCAATTGTTAAGTCGTCCTTCGAAATTGACACCGGACAAGGCGTTTCACATTTCGTTCCGGCGAAAGGAATTCCAAATGGATATGTCGGTGATACGTTTCTTTAAGTCTATTCTCATGCGTTAGTAGGACTGAACTAGACTCATGCGGACAAATTGAAATTAAATAAATTCGGTTTCCTTTCTGTTTTTTTTCTTTCTGCAAAAATCATGGTTTTATTTGGGAGACTCATGTCTGACAAAACTCTTTACATGCCATATGCACCAAGACCGTTGCTTATGGTCAATCGCCACCTCATTTCAGTTCGTGAACGCCATGTAACTTATCTCGTAAGTCCAAAGGGGTAGACTAATTTTTCTCATCGACTGAGGACGCACTCAGACACAGTCATAGTAGTACCTCGGTTAGCCTCACTGCGTGGAACAGTCCGAAACACAGGGAACTCAGTCTAACCACAGTTGCATCTTGTTGTTTGTCCTCAATTTTCACGATCGATAAAGAGGAGAAGGAAGTGGAAGAGAGCGGTCTCGCAATATGATGCAGAGCCCAATTCTGGTTTCGTTTTCTCGTCGGCCGTGGTGGCACATTCTATCTCTCCGCCCCCCCCCCCCACGATCACCACTCAATCCTACATATACACACGCACACATGTAACTATTTGCCTGTCAGCACAGAAACCTGGAGTGTGGTTTTCAACTCACGTTTCATTCACTCAGTGATTTTTTTTGTCGGTCTCGATGATGATGATGATGATGATGGATCCGAGATGTCAATATCTCACCTCGATCGATCGATTGCAATATCATACGAGGCAGAAGTACTCAATTTGTGAATCTGTCTGTCAGTATGTTGATGAGAGTTACCATATGAATCATGCTGGGATGCACCACACCACCTGCGGTCAACATGGAATTTGTGTTAAAATTTGTCTCCAGTTCATACTACTTACTGTGTTTGACGCAACCGGAATGGCTGCTGGACGCAAACTGTTACATCAGTGTCTTTCAATGGGAGTATTTCAAATCGATCCGCAAGCTGTGGTCAAAACCAGCTGCCACTGTTCAGCGCGATCTGATTGATCTGTTTTATTCCTCCTTCATGAACACAAAAACATGAACGACTGAACGATTTAAAAGCGAGGTCAATCAGTTTTGGTATAGTTTCACAAGGTAGTTTCGTTGCAATAGATATTTATATCTCAGTCACAGTCAGTCAGTCGCCCAGTTTTATGTAAACGCGGTCGCCCACTGGCGCAAGTAGTCGATCTCCATAGATTAAGTTGGTTGGGGCATGTGTTACGCATGTCACCAAATAGGTTGCCACGGCGGGCGATGTTCGCCGAGGCAGGTAGTACGTGAAAGAAAGCCAAGGGCGGTCAAACTAAGACCTGGTATGAGGGTATGAAAACCGTCACCAGGAGTCTGGGTCACACAGGTACCGTTAGACTGGGAACCTCGGAATGTTCGTACCCGATGGTCAGAGACACTGAGTGATATGGCTGAGTGTCGTGAAAAGTGGCGTTCGTGCATCTTCTCATTTCTCTGCAACATTAGTTCACTGAAATTCTTCATTTTCGATTCGACTCTCTTTTCAACTTTCTTGTGTTTCTATTCCTGCTCATCCAAATGGACAGCCAAAAGACAGTAACCAAAGCTCGCACATGATAGTGCATGGTTAATGGTTGTACAGACTAAAACTGAAACTGAGTCACAACATGCTCTTCTCCAAATCTGTACTTATATTCGTAAAAAAAGACAACGAACCAACCCAGGAATCATATGTGATGCGAAAATAGTATCCTATTGGTGCATTTGCTACCGCTCACTTTTCGTGCATTAGTTGGTTTTCGCGCGTGATTTTTCAGTCCCCCCCCCCTTGTCCTCGTCTTTGTGAGTTAATTGATCCCGTATTTTCAGCCTTTGCCCGTGTTGCTTATCCCTGACTCTTATTTATAACCTTCTCATATATAGTTTACAGCTTTCTGTCCTCTAGTTTTAAATTTCGTTTACGGTTTAGTAGTGGTCTTGCGGCCAGAAGATAAAGAACAGCGCTCCTGGACGTTGGCTTACCAACTCGTCCAATCACTCTGAATAAAACTGTACTACAATGCTACTGGACCGTGAGCGGTCAATGCAACGATACTTGGTATCATCAATAATTCGCTCGATTCACTGCGCTCCTGTTCTAAGACTATGTCTATGGGCCACCAACCTTCGCAGATATGCCAATCTACTTAGTTGCTTCATTTTTACACGCGCTTTGCAATCCATACACCTCCCCCTCTCCAAAATTGACATATCTCGGTTGCTTCCCTCCCGGTGGTGGTCACTTTGCTATAAAAAACAAGCACTCTTTCTGGCCGGATAAAAATAGAGACTGGTTGTTCAGATGTTCCTTTTCATTAATCAATAAACCAATTGAGCGAATATTAAAAACACCCTATGCGCAGGAGGGAAGGCTATGAACGAATGTGCAGAAAAATCGTGAGTGGAGGCAGGGAAAACACCAAATCTTTTTTAAGGCAAGATGCCCTAGTAGAGATATCCTGTCCACATGGTTAATTCTTGAAGTAGGCTTGGCCAATCGACACGATAAGCGGTCGGTCGGAATTGGGCGCTCTTCTATCCCCTCACTTACACCCGGGTGCGTCGCATCTCGTTGCCAAACGTGGCTGATTTTGCACATGATCATGTCAGGTGTCCATTCATTTTTGCGTCAATGATTAACACAGTTGCTTTCCCATCACAAATTGATAAGGATCAAAACAGTCGGATGAAACGTATTACACACGGTGTGTATCAATCAAGCGATTATGCTCTCTCTCTGTCACACACACACACACACACATGATATTGACACGTTACATTCGTCAAGTCGTTCCTGGCACGGTATCTAATGCTCGAGTATCGTGTAGTGCTCAAGAGCAACCAAAATCGGCGCACGATATTGCATGGTTAATGGTTGTACAAATCGAACCCAGCATAGAGGTGACGTGCAAAGAATGACAGCACCTGCGGCTAATATGTGATATAATCGCCATCCACAGTTGATCGCGTTTCGCAACGCGCCGCATGCGAGCACATTCGCTTCGAGATGGTGTGTAAGAGATAGAGGTAACGAGAGCGCTGAACTACGGCTAACCACGTATCCGGTCCATTTCCCAAGTCCCTTGTTTTAAAATCTCATTTTTTTGGTTCATATGGGACTTGATAATGGGATATCTTTAATTGCAAAACGTATAGTTCCATCAACTAATTAATTCACTCACTCTGCCAGCACGCGCACACTTCGTAGTTCAGTTGGTAGAGTGTGCGCTGTACAAAAGCGTAGGTGGCGTCCGTGCGTGGATTCGAATCCCACCAAGGCTACGAAACTTTTCACAATCGCAACATAAGACTTCAATCTGCCAAACTACAATGTGAATGTCTTTATATTCTCGTATTGATCCCTGTCCATTCCACACTCGCACAATCACCAATGTTACATCCTCTTCGCACATTTGTACCTGACTTTATGAGGAGCACTATTTCTGTCAGCTTTTCTCAATTGGTTCATGCCATTTGATCTCGATTTTTTACCATGGGCTAGCCCCCATTGTGTAATGTTGTTCACTAATCGATCAAGTGGTAATAAATCGGATATAACTTCTTTTTATGACCTCTTCAAACACGAGCACGTCCACCAGTACACACGAACGCCCATGTGCACAAATCTGGGTGGTAAAGCTGTGAATAAGATTGGAAGGAGTGCATTGCTTCGCCGACCTTGTTCTACCCCCAAAACGGATGCCCGGTGCACAATTTGGAATCGATCCGTGACATCCGGATTGGTCTGCACTGACAGACAGACAGACAGACAGACAAACCACATGATAACACCGTCTGGAGATAGAACCTGATAGTCTGGTGGCAAGTTAGTACCGAGGAGTGGGTGGAGATATAGGTCGCAGCTTTGTAATTGCCAACTATTTAGATCACTGCGAGACATTGTTGCGTCAAAATGAAATCCTATTGTTGTGAGATACTACTCACTTGTGAGTAGTCGGTAACTTTCAATGATTAAAAATAGAACAAGACCATCCAGGACCAAGTAATATATTTGGGAAGAATAAACACTGCCTGCTATACCCATTGCCCCATGTGTCGCGATGTGCTGCGAAGGCATGTTTCTGATGAGCTTTTCGTGTTATGCATCCAAATTAGTGACCCTCCATCTGTATTCTCAAATAAAGAACTCTCCTCGACCAGCACCGCCTTTTCGGAATATAACACTATGATGGGACATTAGTAAGGTGCAGGATGTAATTCCTCTAATAATTCCATCAATAGCCAGTCGTTATACCCTCTTCTCTGGTTATCAATGGGTTAAGTTAGCTCCGCCGAAGAAGTTGTCTCTATAGATTACACTGTACGGCGTGCCGGTCTGGGCTGGGCAGTCCGTCAGACAAATCGTGTTCCCATGCACATTTTTACGCCACTGGACTATGGTCTTCACCGGAAGCAGAGCGTTCGTGCGGATTGTTTCACAAATCACACTGTCCCCGTGTGTGCGTGTCTGTGCAAGAGAGGGTGGATGGGACTGGTGGAAATCCATTGTCAGCATGTCTCAGATACCACAATTTGATAAGTCGAAGTGAAAACTGCTGCTGCTGCTGCACGTCAGCATAGCGATTTCGTGAGAACCGATTGTTGTTCTCTCAGGCTTGCTATCGGTCTCTCTCTAGCAGCGTCCACATGTCATTGTATTCCTTATGTTGCATTTCTGTGCTCTTGCATTGGTACAACCCTGGTGCTGACACAGACACACACACACACACGCATGAATACACGCGGCCTCCCGATCGTCTTTCGAATTCGCTTTGATCTATCGAGACCGGAGATCGATAAACATGTATGCCACAGTACAGGACTCTGCTCTGCATTACATACCCCGGTAAAGCACACACACACACTGAGCTACTTCGATGTAGTCTGACTTGAAAGCTAGTGATAAGATTGTAGGATTTGGAAGTGCATGAATTTGCAAATCTGTAATGCTAGATATGCTTTAGCAAAGTCCAATTTTCTATGAGTTTTTATTTTGGAAAATCTCCAAAACTGTTATTTCACCACTCGCAGGAGAGATTGTTCTTGCACTGCACACTGTACGGGAAAAAATCGGGCTAGTTCCCGGTCCATGTTTCCTTTCGACTAAAGTGCCCATCGACCGACTGATCCGGTTAGTATGGCAGAACAAACTCAAGAGACATGCCCACGGTTTCATTTTGTCATATTCATTTTTTTTTCGTACGGTAACGGTAACAGCAACGTCACAGGCCGACAGGCCGGCAACATGTCGGGATGAATCTGCTGGAGAGTCAGTCAACTTTTACGCATATGTCCAGTCGCACTCGACCGCGTTCAAGTTACGGGTGATTACGTGTACTGACCGTGTGTATGCGGTAATTATGACAATGAAAAACCAAGACAAGCGATTCACTGTCACGTGACTCCTCTTCTTCGTCTCATCTGTTTCCAACAGTGCTTTTGATTTATATATTTAAACAATTCATTAATTTGTTATTATGCATTGACCAGTTCTTAAATCACAGTTTATGTGTTCCGTATACGACGCGCATGTGCATCCCCCATTAGAATCGAATGCTACATTACTCTTTTATACTAAGTGTCAAAGCTCGGCAGACTTTTGAATAAGTCATAATCCCAAAGGGATTGTTGTCAAACATTAATTGTGCTATATCGTAGATGGACAGATCAAAGCAATTAGAACAGTCCAGACTCGATGCGACATTTTATTTATCCTCATGTGACTATATTCAATCATCAATTTATTGTAAACAACAATTTAATTTCGGCACAGACT